ACTTCTTGACAACAATGTGTAGGTCATACAACCCATAGCAAGATCTTAACAAATTTAAGGAAAGAAAGTGTGAGCCAAGGAAGGATTTTATAACCAGCTAATCTATCCTTAAAATATTAAGGGTAGAGGAAGAAAGGAATCAAGAAATATTATACTCATAAGCTCTTAAGGAACCTATCAAGTGCTAAACTTTGTCAAGCCAAGGAATGACTGGAGAAATTTTAACAAAAATAAGTATTAGCAATCAGAATCCAACCCTCTAGTGGTGGATGGTCTCATCAGCACCCACCTACGATGCCTGACTTTTGCTATTCATACTGTGGAGTATGGGTGGAATCTTTGACTTTTCTCCAACCAATGGAATATGGCAAAGGTGATGGGATAGCATGATTATGTGATATTGTTATTTTATGATAAGTTATGTTTTGTTGTGTTATATTGTGACTGATTTGCTAATACATTTGCTCTAGAGTTTCTCTTTGCTGGTTTAATGAAGTAAGCAGCCACACTGGGGAAGCCCACCTGGCAAGGAACTGGAGGTGGTCCCTAGGAACTACCTCCAAAAGTTGAAAGTGACATCCAGCCAACCACCAGCAAAAATTTAAGCTCTCAGTCCTACACCCTCAAAGAACTAAATGCTGCCAACAAAAACAGTGAATAGAAAAGCAAATTCTTCCCTGGTTGGTGGGAACTTAGTCTCGACTAACACCAGCAGAAACCCTGCCGAGCCATGTGTAGACTCCCGAGCCATAGAAAGTGTGAGATAATAAACTTGTGCTGCTTCAAGCTACTGAGTTGATGATAACCTGTTCTGTAGCAACTGATAACTAATATAATCATACTGAAACAGAATAAATCATGCTCAAGTGGGTTTGGCTTCCAGAATGCAAGAATAGCTTAGTATTTTTACTATATTTTTCTTATTGTTTTCCTCACTTTAGTCCCAGACCTGATACAAGGAAATCCACTAATATTATTCACTATGTTAATAGCACTAAGGAGAGATGACATTATCATTTCTATATATGGCTTCCACAAATATTAAATATTTCCACTAAAATGGGAATCAGTGGATACTCTGTGATATGGCTTGAATGTGTCCCCCAAAGTCATGTATTGGAAACTTCATCCCCAATGTGACAGTGTTGAGGTACGGCCTAACAATAGATTAATGTCATTATTGTGGCCCTGGGTTAGTTGTATCTTGAGAGTGGGTTGTTATTAAAGGATATGACCCTTGATCTTGGACTTCACCATCTCTAGAAGCATAAGCCAAATAAACTATTGTTTATAAATTATTAAGACTTTAGTATTCTCTTAAAGGAGCAGAAAATGGACTAAGACACTCCCTTAATTTTAACTATCCATCCCTCCCTCTATCCATTTCTTCCCATTCTATAGTCATCATCTTTCTAAATGGGGAAAGTGCCAGTGGCCTTTTTCACTAAGGCCAAGAACAAGGTCCATCCAATTTCTAACACTGATTGAAAATATTGGCCAATCTAATTAGATAAAATAAAGCAATGAATGTATGAAAAGCAGTAAAGAAAAGCTATTTGAATTTGCAGGTGACAGAATACCTGAACTATCTAAGAATCAATGATAAAATTAACAACAAGTAAATTTAGTAAAGTGGGAAGACATAAAATTACACATATAGAAACAATATCCAGTTAGAAGACATAGCTTAAGAAACAGTTACAACAAACAAGACAAAATACTCATGAGTAAACTTAACAAGGAATGTGAAAGACCTATGAGAGGAAAGCCGTAAATCACTCCCCAAAGTAGCCTTGAACACGTATAAAGACATTTTCCTGTTTCTGGATGAGGTGACATAACCTCATGAAGATGTTCCTTTTCCTGAAACATAAACTTAATATGATTCCTTGCAAATACTAGCTACACAGTGGAACAGGTAGGAAATTCTTGAAATAATAAACAAATGTAAGAAACCAGCCCAATCAGGTATCAAAATACAACCAGACTATTGCAATAGTCTTGAATAAAGCCTTTCTTGTCTTTAAATACACACGTGTTTTGGAGTGCACCCATGCACACACGCGTGTACACACACACACACACACACTGTAATGCTTTCACCAGCACACAAATAAACACACCTGTGAAACAGACTAGAAACACGCCCAGTGCTTTTGGATGTTTAGCATGTGATAAAGGTACATTTTTAATCACTAGAGAGAAGATGTACTTTTTAATAAATGGGAGTTGGAATAGAGGGACAGACATTTGGAAAAAGTTTAGATTAGGTCTGTACATTAAATGAAACATCAAACAAGTATTAGAAGACATGAATGAATTTCTTTAAGTTGAACTGGGAAATGTTTTTCCAACTCTGATTCAAAATCTGGATCTAATAAATGGAAAGTGTGATTAAATCAACTACGCTTCATCCCCACTGGGCATAGGGAGATCGGAGGGTGGTAGTGATGCACCCCGGTGAATGCAGGGAGTGGGGCAGGGCTTGAACTCATGCTGCAGGTCCTTCCCGGACCCAGGCCTCCTTGTTGCTGTGGCCCAAGAGGGTGGATGGCACATCTCAGAGCCTATTGGATCCTCCTCACAAGTATCTATCTATCTCTGATCATAGGGCCCAGTCCCATCTCTGCCAGGTTGACTCCAGTAGGCTCCTCCCTCTCCTGCCTCCTGGAGACCTCTCCACAGCCATTAGGAACACCCTTTCAATAATCAACCTCCAAACCTTCTGAGGTCTGCCCACTGCACCTAGACGAAAATCCAAACTCCACCAGCTCCTCTCACTGGCTTTGTTTGATTCAGCTCCTGCTGTCCACCACCTGTACTTGCCTCAGGGACCTTGAATCTGCTGTTCCCTTAGACTTTTTCCATGAGATCCATCCTTTCATTCACAGCATGGTCAGAGGTCACCGCTCAGGGACATCTTCCCTGAACAGGCTAAGTAGCTGCCCCCATTTGCCTCATTTTATTGTTTTTCTTCCTAGCACTTATTCTCTGACATTGACCTCGAATTTCCCTTTTATTTTTTTTTCTTTTGGTTCTGGGAATTGAAACTAAGGGCTATCTACCACTGAGCTACATCCCCAGCAACTTTTAGAAATTTGTTCTTTTTAGGTATACTTGACAGTAATTACGTTTTGACATATTATACATACATGGAGTATAACTTAATCTAATTAGGATCCGATTCTTGCGGTGGTACATGGTGTGGAGTTACACTGGTCATGTATTCATATATGAACATAGGAATTCATTCTGTCTTTCCCATTCCTATCCCCACTCCCTACCCTTCATTCCCCTTTGTTTAATCCAAAGAGCTTTCATTCTTCCATTGTGTGTTAGTATCCACCTATCTGAGAGAACATTCAGCCTTTGGTTTTGGGGAAATTAGCTTATTTCATTTAGCATGATAGTCTCCAGTTCCATCCATGTATCAGCAAATGCCATAATTTCATTCTTCTTTATGGCTGAGTAATATTCCATTTTATATATATATATATATATATATATAATATATTATATTATTATATATATATCACATTTTCTTTATCCATTCATCTGTTGAAGGACACCTAGGTTGGTTCCATAGCTTAGCTATTGTGATTAGAGCTGCTATAAACATTGATGTGGCTGTATCACTGTAGTATGTTCCCAACCCTTTGTATTGTTTGAGACAGGGTCTCGCTAAATTGTGGAGGCTGACCTTTAACTTGCAATCCTGCCATCTGAGCTTCCCAAGTAGCTGGGATTACAGGTATGTACTATCACACCTGGTGGGATTCTCCTTTGATAACTGTAATTGGATGGCCTCCTCCCTCCTACACCAGCTGGAGAGAGCACTTACTGGGGCAGAAAGTAGGCATCACACAGTAGGTGGTCAATGAATACTCTAGGCACAGGTCGGTAGGCACAGTGGCCAAAATGTATAGGTTGGACCCTCACCTTTGCCACTTCATGGCCCTGAGACTGAACAAATCTTGTCAACTCTCTAAGCCTCAGTATGTCAGCTATAAAATGGAAATACAGCATCTATCTGACAGGTAGACCTTTTCAAGAACCCTCTCTGTCTCTCAGCAGAACACCTGCCTCATAGTCCCAGGAAGCAGTAGGTAGGAGCTGGTGGGGAGCCTCACCGCCTCCGCCCCAGGTTGGTCTTTTCCATTGCTGAGCATGAAGCCCTTCTTATCCCAATCTAAACAGAAGACACGAAGTGGTCACTTGATCGTGCACGCTCTCACAGCGAGGGGGGGGGCACACCCAGAGCCCCCAAGCAGCTCCCACCGTCCTGCAGGCCCTTTGATGGTAGTTACTGATACATTTTTCCAATCCGATTCCAGCTTCTGTGACAACACCCTCTTCCTCCAAGGATCAGGCCCCTTTCCCTTCTTCACAAGCACCCTACAAGTAAGCTGTGCCGCCCCATTTCATAGGTGGGGAAACTGAGGTCCAGTGTGGGATGAAGACTGGCTTTTCCTGCCACCCGAGTGGCTGAAGGAAGCTCGTTCTTCACGCAGAGTGGAGCGGCGGGGGACTCACGGCAGAAACCGGTCTCTCTCAACGGGCTAGGGGGTGTGCCCTTCGCTGGTCCCCTCCGCTGTTCCTCCTTGTATCTCCAGTCCCAGCGACCCGGCCCCTGCTGACCCCGCCACGCGCACCCCTGCCCCTCCGGGCACACACCCACGCAGCTCGCAGCCCCCTCCACGGTCCACCCCTCGCCGCGCGGGCCTTACACTCCAGCGCGCCGCGGTTCCGGGCCCCGCCAGCCCGCCGGCCACGCGCACTGTCACCCGTGCGCGCACCTGTGCCCTGGGTCAGACCAGAGCGTCCCCGCCAGCTGCTTGGATGCCAGCCATCCACGCCCAGATCGCCGCCCCTCACCTAAGCATCCCGACCTCTCCCGCACCCCGCGCCCCACCGCCGCTTGCAGCCCCTCCCATGCGCCCGCGAACCTCGCGCCCTTGTCCGCAGCACCAGGTGTCCCGCCTGGCCGCGCCACCACTCACCGGCTCCCGGCACGCCTGAAGCCCGGGCCCGGCCCACGGGCAGCGCCCGCCGCGCCCGCTGAGAGCCGCGGCGCCGCAGACCCGGGGCGCTGCCCGTTGCCGGCAGCCCGTTCAGATCCCGGTGCAGCCCGCCCGTGCGCCTGGCGGTCGGCCCCGAAGGAGCGCTGCTCGGCGCCCCCTCGCGGCCACAAGGGGGAGCGCCGAGCGGGAGGGGCGCGGGGTGGAGCCCTGGGAGTCCCCGCAGAGCTACTGTATTCCCGCTGCCTTGCAGGCGGCCTCGTGGGTACCCTAGGTGGCTCTGTCCACCAGGCCTCTCCTCTGCTCCCGGGTCTCAGGGTCAAGGCCAGACGTCCAATCCTGCTTTCAGGACCCTCCGCTGCGGCTCGTTTCCCACCCCTGTTGCCAGGTCACACAAGTCAGAACTGCCCTGATGAGCATTGTTCCTGGAGGACTCAGCGCTTGAACTCCCCTCCCCACCACCTCCTCTTCACTGGGCCAACAGCTCGCGTTCTGAAACCCAGTTCACCCTTTTTCTTCAAGACTGTCCACTCTTCTGGGCTTTCCTTCTCTGATGACCATCGAACTGGGTTGTCTGTGTACCTGAGTCCTGTGGGCACTGGGTGGGCATTGAAGGGTGGAGGTACTGCACACAACCACCTCTCTTCTTGGTGAGGAAGATCCCAGGGGATCAGCCCACAGGAAGAGGGAGTGCTGCTCTGAAGACACTGGGGTGAAAGGAGGATAATAAAGATGTGTTATCTCACTTTCAGGACCAATGTAGGTTGAGTGGGTCGGGAAGGCCCTGGGGCAGAGGCAAGGCCAGAGGCTAATCACAGTGAGGGAGATGTCTGAGACCAATGTCAAGGGCCACGTGGGGGAAGGGGAGAAAGGAACAGAGGCAGGCACATTGCATGTGTCTGGTGTGGGTGGCTTTTAGCAGATAGACACAGCTTGGGGAATAAGCATTGGATCTAGTCCTCAGGCTAGTGTTCCACAGAGCCCCTGAATCTTCTCTAATAGTTACCCTGAAACCTAGCCCTAAGATCAGTCCTGGTGCATCTCCTGGAAGTATGTGGGTTTCTGTTGTAGACTTCTCTTTCCCTAGAAAAAGGGAAAGAGAAGTCTACAACAGAATTCAGTGAGCTGACCTATTTAGCTGTGATATCATGGGGCCAGAGTAGTTCTGTGGGGTCCCCCTCACCCAGTGTAAATGAAGGGAGCAGGGGCCAGTCTCTCCTTATGCTACCCTTCTCTGTGAGCAAAAGCTTGGACATCCCCAAAACATCTTTCTTCAGGTCAATGACTGGGGCCACCATGCATAGTTGTCATGCTGAGAGTGGGGGTTGGGGATACTTATAGCAGGGCAGTGCCTGGAAGAGCAGCTGAAATATAAGAATGGACTTTCCTGTGTTCATAACTCAATGTCCCACATGACTGATAGAGGTAGGGCCATGGTGTGTGACAAGAGGGAGGAAGCCAGTGCCCCTTAAGGTCTCTTAAGACCTCTCTCTCCCTGCCAGGTCAGGTCTCTACTGAGGATGTAGCAAGGCAGCTTTTTGAGCCTCAAGATCAACATAGAGTCCTGTTCTTGGTGATCTCCAGTTTTGGAGGACACTAGCTGCATGTGCTATGGCCAATCATTGAGAGACATTTGTTCCCCCACCATGTCCACCCAAGAGCACATGAACAGGTAGGGCTCCTTGGATGGTCCATCCACTGCCTTGTCCGAGCCTCCCTTCTCATTGCAGACCATACTCAAGGGCTCATCGTTGGAGTGTGGGGTGGGCATTGGAACAGAGGGTGAGCCACCCAGACATCTGTGAGCTCAGCCTAACCCCCCACAACCCTGAGGCATCCTTCCTGTGGGTATTTACCTAGGGCCTATGTGTGCTGAAGGGCTGGGGATATAGCAGGGAGTGAGTAGGACTGAGTTTCTGCCCCCTCAGAGCTCCAAGTTAGAGAGAGGAGATTGAAGATTAAGAAGCCTCAGGAGGGGTTTTCCATGCCTGATATTTAGACTCTGCTGCGTGCTGCCCCCCAGTACCCAGTAAAAATTCTTCTGAGCCTAAATCTATGCTCCAGGACAGGTGGGGCTTTTCATGCTAGTGAGCCAACAATGAAAGGACTCACTTTTCCCACAGGGGTGATCAGCTATGCCCACTGGGGGAGACAGGGCTGCCATCCATACAAACAAAAAAATAAAGACAATTACAGAGCACTGAGTACCATAAAGTAACCAATATAGGGAGGTGATAGAGTGTGGATGGGGCTACTGTAGACAGGCCTTTCTGGGATGTGGCATTAGACTGAAACTTGAAAGATGAGGAGCCTGGGGAGGTGTGTTCTGGGCAGAGGGGAGATCAAGGGTAAAGGCCCTAAGAGCAGTCAACATCTATGAGGGCAAGTGAGTGATGAAGGAGGCTGAAAAGTTCTGGGAACTAAGGAGGAAGGGGTCAGGACCAGGTAATTCCTCCAGGATAGGAGGAAGAGATGGATTCTGTCCCTTGGGTATGGCAGTAAGGGCAGGTTTAGCCCCAATTCTGCCAGGAAGGTGCTGGTACTGTCTCCAGCAATACTAGTCCTGGTTTCCATGAAGGCTTTCCTAGCATCCCTCTGGAACCCCTGCCTTGGTTGCCCAGATGACATCTCCACATGCATGCGACTCTGGGCCACCCAGGTTTGCTCCACCACCTGCACAATGGGTTGGTGGGGCTTGAGTCTTTATCCACTAAGAGTGGATGTGAGGGAGAAGCAGCAGGCAGAAGCCTGTGGAGGTGGCGGTGGCAGGGAACAGCTGAGTATCTATACCAGGCAGGAGCAAGAGATGGGGTCAGACCCAAGTGAGGGCTATTTCTGGGGAAGAAGCTGCAGGGCTGGGTAATGGGAAGACAAGGAGAATGTGTGAGGAGTGGCAAAAGCTGCTAGGGTATGACCAGGGGGAATGGAGACATTTTTCCCAAGGAGGGGGAGGAGCCCCTTCACAGAAGACAGGGACTGCTGAGATTTCTGCCACAAAGAATTTAGGACACACCTGGAGGTATCTGGACTTGTGGGTGCAGTAGGGGGGTGAGACCTTGGGAGTGAAGGAAGAAACCCTTGAGGTTTCAATAGCTGCAGACGCCCAGTGCCTGGAGCCTGCATGGCTTCCACATCACGTCTGCCCCCAACTCTTGGCACAGCCACAGCAGGTGACTCAGGAAGGAGTCTGACAGCAAGCAAGACTGCCGAGCAGGATTACCAATAAAATCTGAGAACAATGAGGACAGAATTTTGGGCTCTGGCCAATGCATTTTATTAGGGTAACCCAGTGTCCATTCTTGGGTCTGGTGAAAGCTCTCCAAAGTTACTACAAGGGCAAAACTCCAGGAGGAAGTTATCGTATAGTCAGCTACTGGGGTGTATGGGTGTCACATTCTACTGTTGCTTATAGACCAGGGTCCTGCCTATCTAAAGAGTCTGTGTGGGTATCAGGGAGGAGTGAGAGAGTATTGTGTATGCATGCGCATATGTGTGCACATGGTATGTGTATGCAGAGTGTGCATGTGTGTGTGAGTGGGCACGTGTGATGGCATTCCAGGCATGTGCATGGTACATGTTCATACGTACATATGTGTGTGATATATGAGAACAAATAGTGGTGTGTGTGTGCGTGTGTGCGTGTGTGTGTGTGTGTGTGGTGGATGTGTGGTGTGTGCGGTGAGCATGTGTGTGGGGTGAGTGTGCACAGAACCATGCTCCTGGCTGTGCTGAACATGAAGGCATGTGAGACTACAAGGCAGGGTGAAAAACTTGCCTGCTAAAATCCACCACTTAAAGACTCATATTTACTCAGGACTTTGATTAAGTTCCCAAGGTCATGATCCCTCCTTGAGCCCCTAGAGCTCCAGGCAGCACTTCTGCCAGCCTGCGGCATACCTGGGATTGACCTGCAGTGTTGGAGTACCCAGGTACTATGTCCTTATCAGGCTATGGCTATTGAACTTGCCCATCTATAGCTTATTTATGGGACATGGAAATACAGAGGGGCCCATGCCCTCTCTGAGTTTCAGACATGATCCCCCTGCCCTATCACATGGCAGCAGCCCTGTCTACCCCAGTGGGCAGGGTCGATCACCCCTGCCAGTAAAGTGGCTCCTTTCATTATTGGTTTCCTGGCATTAAAGCAATATTGAGCTGTCTTCTCTGTTTGTGGTAGGCAGAATAATGCCCCAAGTGTCCTGGAGCATTAGATTAAGGCTCAGAGGAAGTTTTACCCGGTTCTGGGAGGCATCATGCAGCACAGTCTAATTCTGTAGGCATGGGAAACACCTCCTCAGGGTCTTTGGTCTCCAAAGCTTGGGGGAAAGTTGCCACATGATCAGGTATCAGGTTCTGGTGGGGAACAGAAAATGTAAACCTCTTTTCCCCTCCTGAGTCCTCCAGGCATCTGCCACACTCAAGGTGTCATTTATCCAAGAGAGTCAAATGTCAGTGCACATAGGAATCAACTGGAACATGTAAAGAAAAGAAAGCACCCTAAGATCCCCCTTGAGACCCAGGTTGGGGGGTCGGGATGGCCCTGCACTGTATATTTGTAACAGGTGATTCAGGTGATGCTGATGCCACAGGAAGATGGAGCAAATTTTGAGAAATGCTGATTTAAAGCAATATCGAGTTGACATCTCTGTCTGTGGTAGGCAGAATAATGACCCCTAAAGTTGTCTACATCCTAGTTCCCAGAACCTGTGACTAAGTTACCTTCCATGGCTTTGCATGTATGAGAAGATTATTTTAGATTATCCAGGCAAATCCAGGGTAATCACATGGATCCTTAAAAATGGAGGTTGAGGAAAGAGGATGACAAGTTCAAAGCCAACCTCTGCAACTTAGGGAGACCCTGTCTCAAAATAAAATATAAAAAAGGGCTGTGCATGTAACTCAGTAGTGTGCAGGAGGCCCTTCCAGGACCAGGAAGAAAAAAATCAGAAGGGGGAGGCAGAAGAAGAGAACCAGGGAAAGATATAACAATGGAAGCCGGGTTAGAGAAATGCTGAGCTTCTAGCTTTGAAAATGGAGGAAGAGGCCATGTACTGAGAAGTGTGGGTGGCCTCTAGAAATGGGAAAAGGCAAAAAAATCTGATCTCCCC